GCTCTCTGAATTGCATGTGCAATGTGAATTTAATCAGTTGTTTTTCACTTTTATTATTTAAGCTTTCAGGTTAATCCATGGGGTTGGTTTTGGGGGGTGGCAGTTTGGTGGGTTTTTTTGGAATTGCTGTAGTTTTCTGCATAGGCTGAGGGTGAGGTCTTGGCTCCGTTCCCACTGGTAAGCTCTGCCAAGGACTTCGGTGGAATTGTAATTCCTCCTTAGATATTTTGTGTGGTGGGAAACCGTGGTTATTTTTTAATCTGGCTTCCTAAGAAAATTAATTTTCTTTCCTATAAAATTAGTATGATTGTGTTGTCTGTGAATAGAGGTATCTGTCATTTCTGCCCTACAAACTTTTTTTGAGCCTGCTGGCCAATTTCAAAAAAAATTTGGCAGGAGGGTAGAAATCTTGAAAATACAAAATTCCTATAGTTTCATGAATATAACTACTTAGTGGCAGATTCTGTTCCTGTCACCTGAAGGAAAGGCTGAAGCCCCTGTGTAACTGTGTTCTGTGAACAGAGTTAATATGGGAGAAATAGGAATATTCTAATCCTAGGAAGTGCTTCAGTCAGAATTCATGCCTTATTAAACATCAGAAAAAAACCCCCTCTCTTCAGTCAAGATTTGTATCCTGAATATATTTTCTGCTGTCTTACAAGGCATGAACACCGTTTGAAGCTTTTCCTTTGGCAGAGGCGTTTAGGACATCTTTCCTGTGTGGTTTCTCTGATGTTTAATAAGGAGTGAACTCATGCTGTGCTGTGGCTTTAACACAACTCAGTTAAAAAGTCAATCCGATGCAGTGTAGAAGTCCATTGGAAACCAAACTTTGTTACGGTGCTACCCATGAACTTCCTTGTCATTTATGCTGTGAATAGTCCCGATACAAGCAAATACAGATAGATAAACATTGACTGGCAGGTATTCAGGAATAAATGAAATAACAGAGATTACATCCTTGGAATATTATAGCTGATGTTTACACACATAAAACTCGTGCAATATAAAGAAGTAATTCATCAACCGTTAGCAGGTCATGTCTATGTGTTGGCATGGCATTAACATCGGTAACATTGTGTTGTTATAGCACATGTGCAGAAAAGGACCAAATTTCTATTGATGTGGGAACTAAAACATTTGAAATTGTGATTCTTTGGGGTTTTTTGGAAAAAGAAGAAGAAAGTGTTATTTGACTTACTATTATGCATTTTGTATACGAACATATGTATGAAGTTCATACAGACGCAGGTGGTTATATGGGTAAAGGCAATAGCTCATTTTATCGCCAAATTCAAATAGACATTCAGATAAGGATTTACATGTTCAAGGTTGTAACAACTGAAATCTGTATATAGTGCATTGTATCCAGTATATACAAATGCCAGGTTTGAACCAGTGTATTTAAAGAAAAAGGACAAAATAAGAGCAATTCTTGGATTTACTGTCCTTCCTGAAATCAGAATTAGATTTTTTTTTTTTAAAGTCCCCATCTTGCTATTGCTTTCTTTTTCTGCATGAAAAACAATATATTAGGTACAGTAGATCCAAATCCTATGGTTCTAAGCACATTTTTATTTTAAACCAAGGTGTATAAGAATTTACCTAAGTAAAAGAGGATCAAATATATCCTTCCCTCATTTGCATTACAAAACAGCTGCTTTTTTTAAACCCTATGGCTGATTCTTAATCTGAAGTGAAATTGGGCATGTATAGTATTCTGGAACTGCATCATCACCCTGAGCTCTTAGAGAAAGATGGAAAATCTGAAAGAGGAATATAAGTAAGATTTCTCCAGTGTCACTGTAACCCCTGCAATTTTTAAGGAAAATTAAAATTGATCAGTAGCCAAAGAAACACTAACTATAGTAGTAGTTATTAAAGGCAAAGCTTCCAGGCATTTGGAAGAAGGAAGCCCAATGAACAGAGGCTATATACAGGAAAGTTTAGGTTTAAATTCAGAACTGTATTTTTTTGTTCTTGTAGGGTCAGTTTGTTGTTTTCTTTTTTACTCCAACTTTGCAGCAGACCTAAAATCTTCATATGCTAACGCATTCATTATAATTCACTTAAAAACATCCAATGATGGCCTGTATGTTGAAGACAGGAAACAGAAGAAAAAGCAAAGAGCATATCATTTCTGAGAACTTCAGTCTTCACAACAAAATAATAACCTAAGCATGTAGAAGCCCCAAATCAGCTATTCCTGCCTCAGGGTTAGCAGGTAAACTAGAATTCTAAAATACTATTTATAGATTTAAATAATACTGGAGGTTTCATTTTTTACATTCTTTAGTCAATTCAAAAATAACTTCTGTGAGTCACGAATCTTCACAATAAAAAAAGCTTGCAAAGTTGTCTAGGTCCGAAATCATGCGCTTCTGCAATTACAGATAGATGGTGTAGACAGCATGCATCATCATCTTTAAATTTTGTAAAGTGACAAAACGGGTAACCTGCCTTAGCAGCTAGTATCCAAGGGATTTTGTTGACACTGTGACATTGTTAGCTGATGGAAGGAAGAATTTTGGATAAACTGAAATGACTCAATAGTAAAATTCACCTTAAAAGATGCTGAGGACCTCCTTGAGAAATTCTGATCATACTCAGCTTCTGAAGTAGTCGTGAGTTCTACTTTGCTTTTATTAGCACATAACAGTATTCTTTCCCTCACATAAATTGTATCACGGATTGTATATGAGTGGATTTGAAGCAGTTTCTGCACTATATACTAATTGTATTATGTGTTGTTAAAACACTTTACATGGTTAGGGTGAAAGGTATTTTAACAAGACATGTAGTATTAATTCAATGCTTTTATTTTTAAATAATCTTCTGATGCTCCGTGTTTTTTCTGTTACTCTTAGCCATGTCTCTCTTCTGGATTAAAGAAGAATGTCAGATTTGCACTGGATTATTCCAAGGAAATAGCAAACATTAATTATGAGTTATATCATGAAGAGTTGTAGCCTTCTGAGTTAAACTGAAACTATGGGGTGCTGCCATTTGTGAGGTATTTTTCGTTTTGCATGTACTTTGCAGAGGTCAGGTGTTGTTTGGGTTTTTTTTCTAGCACGACCTCTGTAAGTACAAGTCCTCTATGTATTTCTCTAGTCTACAAAGACTGGTACCAAAGAATGACTGTGACTGTTTCCTCTTAATTTACCCCAGAAACTATTGGCAGAATTGGATTGAAACTCAGAGTTTGGGGCTTCCGGTGCAGTGTTGTGACTTGACATCAAAATGGAAGATCATAAACTTTAAGCATTCACATGTGAATAAGAGATCTTGAAAAAGAAAACAATCAATTTTAGTTTGTACAATTTAAATATATTACTGTAGCTCATTTTGTAGTTACGGTGATTCATCAGATGGCGTTAACACAACTTTGAAAAAGTTCATCATGCAAGCTGGATGTTGCCAGTAGTCATGTCTTTCAGTGAAAGGGATGGAGGTAGTGAAGAAAATCAAACTGTTTGGTAGCATAGCTTCTTTCTTAAAGACTTCAAAGAAATCAAATTGTAAAGAACTTCAAAGAAGTAGAAGTACTGGCTATCCAAACATATGCATGGATAACACAGAAGATTCCAACACTGTGCTAATATTTATTGCTGGTAGAAACAGCCAAATGCAATTAGAATATAAACATTCTCAGCTAAAAAAGAGAATATTTTCACCTTGGGTATAAATTCTTTTTCTGTAACTCATTGATAGGTTGTTACATTAAGTATTAAAACCACATTCTGTAATTTAGCCATACAAGTTTATCATAATACCTTCCTAGTCAGGGGCTCACATCGGACAGTGTTTAGCAGCCATTCCACTTAAGATTTAATAAATAAAAAATTTTGTCCCATATATTGTATAATTGGTGAAAAGTTGCTAAATCATTGAGGTGATTTGAATGAAGAAAGAGTTCTGTTAAGTGTTTAACTGACTTGACATTTAAATGTCAAGTCAGTTAAAAGCTGATGTTCTTAGGAGATCATTGCATACAGTGTGGAAGTTGGGGGGAAAAAAAAGGAGAAAACCCTATTCTTTTATGGAAGAACTTTATAAAAAACCACATACAAATACTGGGAAGACATCATAGTCTTCATCAGATTGAGTGATTATCAGCCTATAATCTAGAAGTCTCAGTATAACTAATAATAATATTAACAGGTGTCAGAAAGTTGGAGCAAAGCAAGCTGAATATAATGGGATTTGTTACAGAATTTATCTTGGTAAATAAATCTCTGTTGATCAGTGGTAGATCTTTGACTTGGAAATAAGCTACCATTGACAGAAAGGTTTCTTTGAAGTAGTTCTCATCTCTTGTGAATTTTAATTTTAGTTCATAGAATGTGCCTCATTCAATTAGTTGTTTTACCTTTTTTAGTTTTCCTTTTAGAGTCTATTCGTAGCATTATTGGTTTTACACTGGCGTAGCTGATGCATTTAGTACCAGATACAAAAATTAGTTGATGCTTTTGATTTTTGAAGGGATAGAGGGAAGAACTAGTTGGGAAAGAAAACAAAGTGAGAAGGAGCAGGAAGGCAAGGTTCATGCTATTTCGTATTTTAATCCGTTCCTTCATTATTCTTACTGAAAACTTCTCTGATTAGTGCTTGAGGCAGTGTAACATTTTTTATTTTTTTTTAACATATCTATAGGACTCAAAAGCCTTAATATAATTTCAAAAAAGAGAAGACTTAATTTAGGAATCTATTCTAGATGTAGAATCCTAGTATCGTCAGTCTTATTAAAAGACAGAATGTAAATGATTTAAAAGCTGACAAGCCCTCTGAAAATGTCATTCTTCAACTAAAAAGGCATCCAGTGTTTAGTTGTAAATACATCTACTTGCAGATGTAGGCCACTCCATTATCTAAGCACTCAGTTTGCAAATGCACTCAAGCCCTTAAACATTAAGTAATATTAATCAAACCCTTAAAAGGTGATAAGGTATACTAGCGGGAAGTTGGAATTTTTGTCTTTTCAGGGCCTGCATTACGGGATGCGAGTGCGTACATTTGGCTCAGACCTGACTGATGCGTGTACGTACGCTATATGCGTTCATAACCTGTTCTGGCAGAAATGGGAATCTTTGTGAAAAGGATTTTTGGTCCAGCCTTTCTCTTGCAGCACATGCCGTAATGAAACTGCTCCATGAACAAAATCCAGGCATCAGTAAAAACAAAATCCTGGGAACACCTGTATTCACCTTTTGACCAACTAAGCGCGGCTCTAACTTGCAAACTATGAAATTTCCAGTTTCTCGTGCGTGTGTGAGGTCCCTGCTTTGGTTTTAACACAATGAAGCCCTGTGGTTTTATTTTCTGCCTTTCTTTTTTTGTTTTAAAAGTAGACCTGTGTCTGCCTTGTTACAGAAGGAACCTTTGTTACCTCTGAGGTAAACCAGGGTTTCAAAGCACCAGTGTTCCCTTCTGAGAATTATTCCCAGTCTTCCCACCTAGCAAAGGCTGCCTTTGTGCGATGCGATGCATAGCTCTGCTTCCCTTTGTTTTGAAGAGACTGTATTGGGGTGAATATTGAATTATTTATGTTCATAGGAACAAAACACACTTACCCAAATGCCTGTGGTAAAGATTCCAAAAGGGGCCGTAAAAACCATCCCAGCAGATTCATATTGTCTTGTTAAACGAGTAAGGGTTTAACATGCTTCTTATTAGCTTGTCAAACCACAGTGGCTGTGTTTACATGAAAAACTTATGTTCTCTTGCCTTGCGTCCACATGTGAACATGTTTGGCTTACATAAAACCTGAGCTCACTAGGCCTCTTGGAGCATTTAACGGGAGCACCAGACCAGACTTGTAGCATTCCACATCGTTTGTGAACATAAGATAAAGCCAATTTCAAGATCTGAGCAAGAATGCCCCTTAATCATGCTTCAGTGTCAGAAGCCAGATGTATGAAAGAAAAACATTTTTCTCCTCTAACTTTCTGCCTCCCTCGGGCATTCTTATCGATGACCCAAATACTCAACTTCATATCCAGAAGTTTTCCAGCATGTTGCTCTCATTTCATTTCTGAAATTTTTCTGCAAGATTTCTTATCCTTTCAGTACTTTGCATTTCTGGTTCTTCACGTAAGCTAATCAAATGTGATGCTGATGATGCAGGGGACAGGATGTTTCTTACACAAAATGTTTCGACAGATAGAAGAGACCCACAAATGAGGATTACTGGCTGGCCTGAGGAGAATGGAAAAAATTTTGTTATGTGGGAGAAGTCTACAACACAGCACTATTTTAGCACAGAGGCAAAATAAATAGCGTGCTTACAAAATGACTGTGTCACTGGAAGTGTTAGGCATTAAGCAATATCAGGAAAAGATTAACAATAAGAGATAATTACTGTAATTTGACTAGTAGATTAGAGAACATAAATAAAATAAGGAACAATATAAGCAAGTGCAATCATAAAACGTGGAAGGCTGCAAGTTATAGGAAATGACTGTTGTTTTCCAGAAAAAGGTAACAGTAGGCAAGGAAGGCAATGAAGTTGTACTGTATTTTGATACTCATTTTTTTGCTTCATGGTAAAGAGACAGCTGGTTAGTTGGGCTTGCTACAAGTACTAGAAAATGTGAACAGTTGTAATATAGTAAGCTGGATGTTGTTGAATGTATGCCCAAAGATTGATAAGAAATTATAGGTCTGTAGGGCAGATGTTTGTAAATATAACTGATACCATCTTAGAACAGTTATACAGTTGTATCATCCATTCCATGGATGGATAACAACAGAAGATACACACACATTTGTGATAAATATTCTGTTCAGTGGGATTGTTTGGGAGATCTCCATCACTAAAGCAGAATGGATTATAAAAGAGCAGATCAGTATCTTAACAACAAGCGCTGTGTAACGTACCACCCAGGCTTCAGTGCAGAGGAATTTCCAGTGATCCTCACCATAAATAAATCCTCAATCATTTCATTAATTTATTGAGTCCTACTGTTTCAGAGGAGAATACTGCTCACCGCCTACCAGTGCTCTAGTCATCTTGTTTATGCAAAAGTTTCCAATTCCCAGCTCCTATCTTCATGCTACGTGTAAGCCATTTTTAGTTCCTCTGAGACAGCACTTCAAGCCAATACATTTTTCCCTTGAAGTGTAAGAGTCAATGCCCAGTATTTTTTTTTTCTTGCTCCTTAGAAGACCCTCAATATATTCACAGTTAAGGTGGTTATAACTATACTTGGAAAGCAGGTAATGCCATTTAAAGTATGTCTCTAAAGCACAGGAAATTGAAAAGTAAATTTTCAGGTAACCGACTAAACTTTTCGTTCTTCACAGTCCATGTGAAGGAGAAATGGGAATAGCACATTGTTTTAAACAACTTCCTAGTTTGGTGTTGGCATCTCAAATCAGTGCAGGATGAAAAAGCGTTGTAATTAAGTTACAATTCACTCTTTCTTCAGCCAAAATCTTGGTCTGCCTTAGTTGTCACAAGTCTCCAGCCTCTTTCACACTTCCTCTTCTCCCTGAGATCCGTACAGAAAACAGTGGCAGTAGGTTAGACTACATAGTCTTTCTCCTGGTATCTTGAATCATTCCTTTAATCTTCATGTACTGCTTTTTTAACTTCTTTGGAAGTGAAAACAAAATAGGACTGCACAGTGTTCTCTTTCTTTTCTTATCTGCCCATGTCGCTTATCTTATCTGGACTTTTTTTGTTCAGTGATGTTTGCCCCTGCTCCATTTGTCTGGGTTTCTTTCCTACAACTTTTTCTGGTCATTCGGGGGTTTTTTGGCTGTTATTTCCTCATTGCATTTAATTCTCAGTGAAACTCTTGACTTTTCGTCACTTCTCATTCAGGTTTCTCTTAATTTGCTGCCAAGATTCCTTTAAGAAATAAGCAGAATGCTTTGGAAATATGTATTTCTCCATGGTAAATGTTTAAGTCTTAAGTCTTCTTGCTGCAATCTGTGCTCTTCCTCCCCTGCCATTCAATCCCTGCTTTTCAGTTCCTCACTGCGTTCGTTGTGGAGTGTGAAATACTGGACCGTGCGAATTCTTCAGGACAGGAACCGATCCCTCCTGTTTAAACTGTGAGGCATCTAGCAACTTGTCTTCTTATAACTATTTTCCTTAATTAATAATGTGCTGATGGAGAATTAATATTAGTAACTAATATATTTGGAGGGGAATCTACTTTTTTGAGATCATAAAAAGTGTCTTTAAATTTAGTTCTTATGTCATTTGTTATGGATTTCTCAGTATTAATTGCAACCTTTCCAAAACCAAACTGCCTTGAATGACTGAACATGTTAAATTTGTTTTGGTGGAAAAATTAAGAGGGACTTAAACATGGTAACTTAAACATAACACAAAAGCAAACTGTCAGAGTTTTTGAGCCTTATAAGAGAGAATCACACTCTTCATAGCCTGTGGAACTTTCCATATTCTCTTTTTGAACCTGTTCGTGCGGTATTATGAAAAATAATTCTGTGAAGCATGAGGGATTTTTTAATACTTTGAATCAGTTCGAAATATATTGCTTTTTTTACTTGTCACTTCAATTTTATATTGTCAGAATCAAAATTTGTGTGCTGTGCAGTGTCATAGAGTGGTATTGTTCACACCGGTTAAGTTAACCTGTGTTTTAAACTGCTGCACACATTGAAGCCTTGCTGATAATTTCTGTTGCACTCGCTTGAACCTTTCCTGAAGCTTGTGCCTTGAGGTATGATGGCATGCCCGGAGGGCACCTGATTCTGCTGGGCTGCCTACCAGCCTGGAGTGTCTGTTGTAAGCTTCAGATTAATTTGTAAAGGTGGGTCCCCTTGCCCAGGGAAGAAAGCAGTGTGATGACCGGTAGGCAGAGTGCTTGTATACTGTGTGCTACCGCTGTGTAACGTGAAGTGTCCGATCAGCTGGGTCATAAATGTTATCCCTCATGTGATTTTGTTTCTTCAGAGAATGCGAGGCCTGAGGACAGTGGAGAGCTCCCTTTTCCAGTGCTGGCAGCCCAGGTTTTCACTCATCCAACACGTCAGTGGAAACCTTTTAGTCGTCTTTATGCAGAACCTTTCTGCATATGAAGAACCATTAAGCAAAGGAAAAATCCCTTCAGTTCTTATTTATCCGATACAAAGGAAATACTAGCATTTTCAGACTTTTATACTATCCAGTAGCAATAAGAAAAGCTTTATGTTGCAAGAGTATCTGTTCTTTTTCCTTCTAGCTCTGATTCTGGCCAGGGAAAGAAAGAAAAGAAACGTATTCTAATTTAATTATAGGGTTAGCTTTCTATTCGTCTCATGCTGCTTGGTTTTTTCTTCCTCGAAGAGGAAGAGAATCCTGGGGACAGAGGTCCTATCCCCATAAATCTTTCAATATTGGATCACCCTAGCTATAGTTTGTGTGTAAACATGTTAGGTTAAAGGCTGCTGGAACCCCGAATCTATACAGTTAATGTAAATCTTTCCTTGGTATAGCCACTTTGTCTAAAATGAGAAATACATTATAGAAAACTGCTTTTATTTTTGACAATTTTACCTGCAGCAGAATACGGAAGTTGGAATAAACCCAAACAAGCAGTATTCATTAGCATTTACGAATTACTTCATCACACAGTGTTTACACTATTCTATGAATGTTATTAAACTTCAGTGTACTTCAGTATAAGCACCTGGACATTATAGGTGGGCAAGCAGAGAAGCAGACTGGTTTCAATAACTTGCTAGAACAGATGAAGTCAGCAGAAGAGCTGTAAATAAAGCTCAGCAACTCTGACTTGCAGTTTTCTGCAGAGTCTGTGAAACTAAAATACATTTTCATTTTAGTATTTGCTTTTTACAGTGATTTTTTTTCATATTTTTTCCAGTCACTAGTCACGGAGACCTCAAAGGTATTTCCCCTGAACCTCTAGTAGGTCAAGCAAAAAAAGATGGTATTATCCTTTCAGCTCTAATGGCAAGATTTTTAGTCTTAGTTTGACCAGGATTCTTTCTCCAAATAAATAGATTTGGCATAGTCTTCCCCCTAGGTTTATTTGGGATGGTATTTTTTTTCTGTACACTCAATAATGTAGATACCTCAGGTTATATCTGTTAGCTGAAAACATACATTTCTGGTTTACTAATGTTGAAGTATAAATAGTTATAAGTAAAAATTGTTTCTTTAAAAATAGAACAGGAATTTTTTTTTTTACACCCTTTACCTCATAGTAGATTTGAGTGGACAAGCAATATATTAATTACGTTTGCTTTAAATGGAAGTATTACTAGAAGAGGAGAGATAACATTGTCACAAACCTAGACTGACCGATTTTTTAGTAACAAGAGTAATGTTCTGTCATTTTACTGTTAAGCTCCATATTGCTCATCGAAGCACTATCCCAAGGCTTCTGCCAAGCGCCACGTTGTTCGTGTGATAGGGAGGATAAGTTATGCTCGAGCGAGTCTGAAAAATGGTAAACTGACAGCAAATCTGGGATCATGGTTGGTAAGGCAGCTTTTGTGGTCACGTGCTTTTATTTGATGTGGTTCCTCATGTCTCCTGTGCCAAATGGTGTAATGTACTAAAGTGATGAAACTGCAGAAAAAAAAAAAAAAAAAAAAAGAGTGAACTATTTACTTCAGCAACAAAGGAGAAAGAGAACGGGGAAGGAGATCAAAGCCTATAGCATGAGTCTCAGAACAGGAAAAAAGAGTAAAAAGAAGGGAATTTCTTTCCACATGCTTCAGGCTACTCTTGCTTATAGCCATCATGAGTAATAAACCCATTAAATGTTTGTGTAGGTCTGCAACGTGCTTCAGTTTCAAAATAAAACTTACAGGGAGTTAAGAAGGGTGTATCCTGGTAAAACCAAGGGCTGTAAAGTCTAAAGTCTACTTTCTATCACTAGTACATAGATTTGAACATGTTTTAACATTGGCCACGCTGAGAGAAAAACTTGGTTATTTTAAACTAGTATAAAAAGTCTTTCCATGCAGAGGCAAGTTTTTTGTTTATTTACATTTTCAGAACTAGACAAATCTTCAACTGTATTGCTCACAATCTTTGAAATTGTCGTTTCCCTATTTTATGTGGGCTTTGCAAAAAGAATACATTGGATTAGGAACATTGTTGAGTGCAGTTGGTATTATGTCCCACTTCCTTTTGATGTCAAGCTCTTTAATGCTACGTTCACACTGTATACACAAGGGTAAGTGTGATTCTTTTTACAGTGCTGTACCTTCTTCCCAAATACATGGGTCTTACTCTTTCCTCCCTTGGAGGAACAATAACTGTCACTGTGCAAGGTATCTCTTTTTAAGAGCCTGAAACTTTTCCTTAGATGTTCTTTTCTTTGTGATACTTCTTTCAAAGAAAAGCTTATGCAATTTCAAAGATGGGGAATGGTAACAGGCAAAGGCAAGAGAGAGAACAAAATATATAGACAGTATTATGTGTGTGTGGGTGCTTAACTGTAGTACTGTAACCTGTGTTAGTGCATAACTTTATAAACTCTGATAATTTTATTCTTGCAGAACCCTGCAAGATGTACGGGGTAGTCTGAAATAATCCTCATTTTTCAGACTCAGCTCAAAAGTTTCCCAGCAATGTAGAGAAACCTGCATTTTTCTGCTCAGAGAAAGGAGGAAGCAAAATGGATTGCAGGGAAGACGTGTGAGGTGAATGAAGGGAGTTTAGAGGAACTAGGCAGGCCCGAGAGAGCATGGGCAGAGTTGTAGGGAAGGGGTGGGTAGGGTAGGGATGGGAGCAGGAGCATCTTCCTTTGTGCCTTTAAGTCTGCCTTGCCTAACCGCCCACTCTTCTGAGCCTGGGACTTCGAAGCCCCCTTCTTCTTCCCCAGTGCAGTGATGTTTTTAAGGAAGGGGAAATAACTGGTTCTTTACACATAAATACTCGAGAACAAAACCAGTCACTTCTGTAAACCTGTGAATGAATGCTATGCTTTTTTTTTTCTTTTCCTAAAGGATCATTTCTTGAGGAAGACATTTTAATTATAAGCTATCAAGAAGTGGGAAAGAATTTTGCATTTTGTATGCGGGCCTGAATAAATAGATTCATTGAGAGACAGACAGAGCAAGTCACTTGGAATGCACGAGTCAACAGCAGAAATGTAAACATACTCCAGCTACGCTCCCTGTGTCCCTGCTATTAATGCAGGCTGACTGCCACTCTTGTTGAATTCAGTTGTGAGTTCCTCTCAAAATCCAGCTGAACTCACAGACCATGGATCAGAACCGCCTTGTGTCTGACACTCTGGAAACCCAGGAAGACAGAAACTTGCTGCACAGGGGTCTATGGTCCATCTTAAAATGAGGTGTATGAAGCTGGTTTGCAGAGCTGAGTAGGTTTAGAGTAACAGCAAGTGAATAAAATGCTGAGGCCAACAGATCTTAGTCTCTGTGTTCCAATGTGTTCATGCAACCTTATCTCATAGACAGGTAGATCTACCCAGTATTTATCTTCATCTGGTACCAGTCCTAATGAAATAGCATCTACCAAGTCTGTTGCTTCATGGATTATGATGAAGTATAGAAAGCCATTATCAGAATCTGTTAGAATTAGCCTTTAAAAAGTAGCAGGTTACTGGAAAAAAATTGTGTAAAAATCAAACACAATTCAATTGGTTGTGCTGAAAGGAGACATAGTCTGGCAGCTGTAGGGGAGCAATATTAATTAGTTTGTGTTTAAAAACAAAATAACTTCCTTATCATATCTCTTGGTGGCTTTTTGGTTTTAGTTTTTCATCTTAGTAAAATGACGACAGTTGGACTTGATGATCTTAGAGGTCTTTTCCAACGTTAAAGATTCTATGATTCTATAAAATTAATGTCACCATACCTGATAGTGTGATGTTATAGTTGGATTTATTCCTAGGTATAGAAAAGTGTTTTATTTGTGAGGGGTGTATAACAGTGATACCAAGAAGGAAAGCTTAATCAGAAGCAGAGGTATGCAAGATCTGTGCTCTGAGAGGGTCAGCTATCTGGAAAGCAGGTCTGACATGCAGGAATCTTTAGCTTGTGCTGGTGAAATCTCTTGGCAAAGAGAATGTCCTTGACTAGAAAAGGTTTCTTATGGCATTTTTTGTCTTACATGTTGGGTTTTTTTTGATTGGGCTTTGAGGTACCTCAAAAAGCAACATTAAATACTGAGCTACATGCTGAAATTCTTTTGCCTTATTTTCTCAATTTTACATATTTCCTTGCACCTTTTACAGGTTCTTCTTATTTGATGTTGAGTAAGTCACTTCTTTCTTCAGCTGCAAGTGTATTATAGGGTTAAAGGAATTATTACAGCTTCTTGCCCCGTCTCGTGTTTGTGAGATACTGCAAATATGTCCCTTTGATATGACGGAGACATAGTATAACATAGTCAAATCAAACTCTGAGCAATAGCTTCCTTACGTGTTTAAAAATAAAAGGTAAATATCAGTTTCATAAGGCAGATGAACCTTAATTGAATGTTTATAGAAAGTTTTGAGATGGTGAGAGGCAAGGTCCTGTGCAAATGCAGTATTTCATTAAAATATTTAATAAGCAAATTCTCTGACCCAGTAGAGGGAACAAAGATGCCTGTCCACTCTTAATTTTCCCTACCCATAATTATTTCTACAGAACATAAATTACATATTGTACAGCTTTATTCTCTTTTCAGAGGATAATTATACTAGAAATTCAAGCCACCTTTATGTGGAGGGACCTCTTTCTCAGAAACCACACCTTGTAGCGGTCTGTTTTTCATTTGAGAAGGGTTGAATTCCCATTTACATCAACAAGTTTTTATGGATTGACTACTTTCAAAACATGGATACAGGTAGAATGGGAAGCCCTTATTCACAAATCATAATAATGCAGTCTGGAAGATGTATTGAAAGCTGATGATATAGGAGTGGAAGCTTTTTTGCGTGTGAAATCTGTTAGAGATTACTCCTAATTTCATGTCTGCTATTGTAACAGAGAGGAGCCTGTAATTCCTGTTGTAGTCCACCTGAGTGTCGCCAGTGGTATCTCCATGCTGAGGGGGAACTTGGACTCGGTTGCAAATGAGGCAAAGTAGGATACAAAACAGACAGTCCCATCCGCTCTGCGTATGACATTGGAGGCTTTTATGGATATATTTAAATAACCATTTAAGGAGTTTAATAAACTGAAAGCCAAGGTCTTAAAGTAAGGTTCACAACCCAGTTGTAACATACTAGGAGGGACAAGTCTTTCATTCTCCAATGTTAAAGACTGATGGACCCAGTATACTTTCAATTTCCTAAGAGCAAACTCCTGTTTCAGAAGTGTTCCAACTTAGCAATAATCTAATAGTCACACTTCGCTGTTTTTAACATCCACAAGTAGCAAAATTGTATTCCTGTGTGAGTAATTTTAGTAAGGGAGTAGCAGCAAGGAATCTGAATTCTGTTTTAAAAAAAAAAATCCTGTTCAAGTCTTACTTCTGCTGGAAAAGTTTGTTTGTTTTTTTTAATGTAGCTGTGGTATACTCAAGGCTTTTTTTTTTTTTCATCGTTGCATATGCAAAATCCAGACCTGCAGAACTGTTCCATGTGGTGAACATACCCAGACTGTTTTGCCTGAGTAGCAGATTTCCATATACCTCATTATGAGTTTGGGGTTTTTTGATTTATGTAGGCTCTGTTCCTTCAAAGGGATGTACGACTGTAGACCTTTATACATACCAAAGTGATATCTTATCAAGTACTGAGAAAAATACAAGGGCAGGTCCAGTTGGAGAAAAAGAGCCTTTTTTTGCAGAGAAGAACTTACTTTCTAGTCAGTTTAATCTTTCATGGAAACAGCATACATGTAAACAGGAGACCACAGAGTAACTTCGCTTTTGAAGCTTTTGAATTGTACCCAACGAGGTTCTAGATATTTAGTGAATAATGTAAGCCACAGTGTGTAATACAAATTCATATCACTTTTGATTGGTAAAAGACTGTAAGAAAGATTCAGGACAGTACTGGTAAAAGAAAGTAGCACGGCCTTTAGCTGGTTCTTATACAACCTGATTTAAATACAAAGTGCTAGATCTTTCCACACCAAAGAAGCCATTATCCTCAGCAATAGCAGGTGTGCCTCAGTCTTCCATCCTATAATAAAGGCAAGTGATTAAGGTGCCTAACTACATCTCTGAAGTTATCTTATTTCTGTGGATTCCTACCGTTCAGATGTCCAGTCTGTGCATGGACAGAGTTAATATCTTTGTTCATATTATTTCCTACTGGGGATGAACAAAATCGTAGAATCAGGGAATATAATCATAAACCAATGCAGACTGGAGAGAACCTCTGGAGGTTATCTGGCCAAGCCTCTCCTCGTGGCAGTTGTTCAGCTGAGCTTTGAGCACCTCTGAGGACAGAGATTACCCAGCCCCTCTGGGCCTGTCTTCCAGTATTTGATTATTCTGATTGTGACAATGTTTTTCCTAATAGCTAACCAAACTTCCTTTCTTGCAACATGTCTGCGTTGCCTTTCATCCTGTCACTGCGCACTTCTCAGAAGACTCCGGCTCCATCTTCTCTGTATTTTTACATTAGATAACCGAAGGCATCAATATGCCTTCAATAACAATGTGCCTTCGACTCCCTTCTTCAATATTCCCTCCCTCCCCAACCTTCTCTTAAGACTGCACAAACCCATTTCTTTCCGCGTCCCCCATTACATTGTGTACCTAACAATCTTTCTGGTCCACTGCCCCCTTGATCTAGTAGGCGAACATCTATGTTGTGTTGGGGTGCCCAAAACTGGAGTAAATAGCATGGCTGATGTGCATCTGACCATCTGTTACTCCTCAGTCTAAATTATTTTGATTATTCTCTAGCTGGTTTGACTGAAGGTGGCATCTTGAATAATTCAAGACTCAAAGTCCTCTTCTCCAGCTATAACAAGATATCTTAACTACAGTGCTCTGCATCTTATTGATGAGGGCTAAGAAACAGAACTGTTTACAGTGAAAAAGTTATTTCCTGATAGAATGCTTTGCATTAATGATACTCTTGATTAAAGTTCTTTAATTACAGTGGATCATGGTATAACCTGTTTTTATAGATTAAATCATGCAATATGTTTTATATTGCCACAGCATAAAATGCATTTCCTCAGTCATGGCCCTC